TAGTTTTACATCAAAGAGAAAGTTTCAAAAAGTCGACATAGACGCAAATTACCAGGGCAACACATCAAGCATGTTATTTCCTAGACCTGCGAGATTTTCAGTTTTTAAGAATATTTTCTCCAAAAACAAGACTTGGATGTGATTGGCCAAGAGAAATTATAAGAACTTACAGAAAATCAATAAGGGGAAGAAGCTTATATATACATATATATGCGTAGGCGGCGCAGCGGTAGAGCTCCTGCAAACAACTACACACGTGGTCCGGCGGACGATCCGCAACGGACGCACTCATTTGCCTCGCTAAGCCAGTAATAAGAGTTGGTAAAGGGGGAAGGTTGGGAATGAAGTTGGCAACCTCATCCCGTAAAAATAAACACCACTGCTACTGAAACTTCAAGCATCTAGCTTGAAGTCCTATGTTCCACTGGGGATGTAAAGGAATAAAAAAGTACATATATACACGTGAGACGAGCGTTATGATCAATGGTAGGAAGTAGATCGGAGTGACACACGCAAATATGTATAAATTAATTTAAGCGAATTCCGTAGTGCCTACTATTCCAAACATTACACTCTAACGCAACAACAGAACATCTAACTTCACCTTGACCTGATCGATCTTAGGACTATATAATACCTAATACATTCGTTCACGGTATCAAAGTTCTGCAAATGCATACACATTTCTGTCACTCCAGTTGGCCTTAATACATGATTTTTAAAAATTAGATTTAGCCGTCTATTACACACCACTGTTTTTAACACCTCATTCGAACTATTAGTGTCTGTCCATTTCACTGGTCCAGTTCCATACAAGGTGTCATTGTAACATCTTAGATAATTAAAAACATTTTTTAGTCCAAATTCAAGGAAGTTTAGAAGTTCATGGTTTTTTAATATTTCTAGCCGAATGAACCACATAGTTTGCGTAGCATAGAATAATGAAGCTAATCCCTGGGAAATTCCAAGCAAAGTTATAGTACTTTCTCTGTCTGCAAAGCAACCTAGGTGTAAATAATCTCAGCGGCAATCAACAGTGGACTACATGACGAAATAAACTTCGAGTTACTACGTACTACTAAATAATGATGCGACATTTTGAAGTTTTCTACGGTGATTGCTGATATTTTGGTAGGACTGGGGTACAGCAGTGACCCAACGACATATGCTGGCTGCAGTCGGATGAATAGTGAATAAACGGCACACGCATACCATCATAATGTATTTTGCTTAAGATAAGGTGGAAATCCGAGAGCGAAAGTGTACTGCTTGTGGATAAAGTTGTAGAACAAACGACACGCTAGCTTTACTGCCACAAAACTGAACATACTGAATATACCAGCAAGTCATTACAATGCTGAAGAAGGGAAGCGGAGTCAAACAAAAAAGTATGTATGTTTTGAGCATCAAGCCAACAAACCTACAAGACTGATGACCTGCTACGATTTTATTTAAATTACCAAATATTTGTAGCGAGCACTAATTCTAAACACAGGAAAACACTGTCTCACATGGTAACCACCAGCATGAAGTCAATAGTAAACATAACTAAACCACTTAGTTATAAGTTAACGATAGTGAAGATCACATCTCCCGCGACATTTGTATCCATTCCAATCATACTTTGGTTCGTGTATGTATAAAATTGTTGCTAAACACGGGTGTGAAACAATTAGAGGCTACTTTCTTACACATCCAGGTTTTTGAAAAGATGAAAAGAAAACCAGTAACACAGAAATACCCATCTTGAGGAACCCTGATACTATATCCCGCCTGTAGAAGTGAAGACAGCTGATCACCTATAAATAAAGATAAAACCCAGCTGATAAAACGCAAGCTGATCAAAAGTCTCCGCAACGACCGTGAATATTGATGAGCGACAAAAGTCAGAGATAAAAAGACTACTTAGTCCAATTAGGGAAACAGTTTCTAAAAGACAAATGATCAGAAAGACAATCTCCAAGAAAGACGGCGCTTTGATTACCTCTCAGGATAGAAGACTAGAAAATTGGGAGGAATATTTTGAGGAACAGTTTACCTGACCTAGAACAGGCTAAATTTGATCATATCTTCACACTTCAACAGATTCTGGAAAATCGGCATACCAACCGGTGCCCAACAGTTGCCACGTTTCTCAACCTGCAAGGGGCATTTGACTTTGTTGAGCAAGAGGTACTGCAATTGTCTCGTCAAAACACCACACTCGAACTGACGCAGTAGTGTTAGAGCTTACAGTGTTGTCGTCTTAAGTGATGACCAGTCTGTAATGTCCAATGCCTCCATCTTTGTTCACTCTTAGAATAGACGTACTAACAATAATGACTCTAGCGGTGTAGGAATTGACTTGTTACTCCTTAGAACATCCAGATGATATTGTCCTTCTAGGCGAAGACACTGACAAAATTAAGTCTACTGAACACCTTGAGAAGATATCTTATTAGGTTTGGTATGCAACTTGCTCTTTTCAGAGGTAAGGTGATGGCTTCAGGACTGCTTTGCATCGACCCCTAGTTAAAAGATATGGGGTGAAGGGGCAGAGCGTGTTCACCACTTCAGCTATTTGGGAACTTACATCAGACTCAGTAGACTGGTTACTAGCGATTTCTCAGTAAGAATACAAAAGGCTTGTGTGGCATCTGCAAATACGTTACCTCTGGCGTAGACGTGATATCCTGATACCGATCAAAGGATATGTGCTTCACAGCAATTCACTCTGCCTTTTCATGGCTGGGAAATGGCTGCTGAGGGCGAAAGTTGTGAGACGGTTAGCTATCTTTGACCACAGGTGTTTGCGTCTTATCTCCCGTATTATGTAGAACCATATGGTGAGTAATATTGAGGTTAGGTGTATGGTGTTAGGTGAGGAAAATCAGTCGATAAGGTTGTGAAGCTACTTAGGTGTAGATGGCTAGGACACGTGTCGTGCATCCCGAGTCACCGCTTTCCCCAACGAGCAATGCTAGCTGACATACGGTTGGAGTGGAAGAGTTAGGCGTGGTCAGACCAAAACCTGGCATCAGTCCCTAAATTCTCTTGAGACACGTTGGGAGGTGCAGACTGTCTGGTTCGAATCCCCGTGATGTTAAGAACTAGTGGCTGAAGGATATTGATGCTATGACTCGAAATTGTTCTGGGCGATCCACACATTTCTGCCCATTACAGCTCTTCTGAATATCCTTTTTTCTCTCCCTTGTCTACCTATGTGTGCTACACGGAGGATGGCAACTTTAACTGCTGAATTTTTGTGCTAAGTTCTACTTTGAAACTCAGACAGTTAAAACCCATTAGATACTGTTTTGTTTTTAAAATCTTCGTCCAGTCATATGAGTCACGAAACAGAGATGTCCTTTTATATATAAACCTGTGTCATGCTGATTTCGATCAATTCCCTGAAGAAGTTCGGATTAGATTGCCGACAGAAACGTTGGAATTAATTATTTCAATTTCGCTGGGATTTTACAAATGTCTACTTCTTACTTGGCGCCAAATTATTTTGGAACTATTCGGTCAAATCACAGTTCATAGATAGCTGTGAACTCATTCAGACTGATATATACAAGCAGACCGATCGTGGAGGGCATTGAGCATATCAAGGAAAGAAGCCTGCTCATATGTACTCTGAGTGAAGGTTTTTACCACTACCAAGAATAGTGATGATTTATGAAAGCCAATTAAGTGGAAAAGGTGTCAGTAATAAGTAATACGCATTATTTGCTAATGCTTATTGAAGAAAAGAGTCCTAAAAGTTATGGTAAATGAAACGATTTCCGAAGATAGAACTCAAATAAATAACTATACCAAAGTTTCCTACCATTAGAGTAAATGAGATGTACACATCGCCCCTCCATCTACAAAAGCTTTAGGTAGCTTAAAAAGACGCTAAGCAGCAAGACCTAGATGTACAGATGATTGAGGATGATAGTGATGAATAAGGCTATATTAACGAAGGTGCTAGTTGGTCTATAAAGAGCGCTAATCATTCCAGTTTATGGAAGAATAATTTTTGTGATAATCACAGAGAAATCAGTTCACTAATGTGATATTAAAGATTCTTGATTTAGCAGTACTGCAGAAAATGAGGATACTGGGAAAAATAGACTCCAGAAGACCAGCCAAGTTTCAGAGCTAAAGGAGAGTGCATCAACCAAATCTTCATCCTTCAACACTTCCTGGAACACATATATACTTCTTAACCTTAAGGCGTTATCTGGAGAAGTATTGAGAAAACGACTGGCTTTGAAGCAAGCTCCGTGGTAACAGACACTTCTGTATCTATACACTACAGAGATTTCGATGTATCACCCAAGCTTTCGTGTCCAAAATGTTGAGCATGTTAATGAATTTCAAGCACGAGGCCTATGATGGTGAAATGAAAATTGATATGCAAAAGTGAAAACCTTTGGGAAACTGAGCTCAGAAGACAAATCTTTATACGGGGTCAAGATACAGTTCACTAATTTAGTCGCATGAATTCGGATTACATCCTTATTTCCTACTGTATCTTCATTGACTCAAGTCTAAGTGATCACATGGCAGCATTACTTTTCTGGTAAAAAGGACCGTTTCTAATATCTTATATGAATCTACTGTTGTTGAGATGCAACATGCACTTATAAGAATATCAATGGAGAGAATGGGTTTGCTCGAGTTAAAATGCAGAAAGATTCCTTCATACCTAACAATTATTTATGCCTCAGACAATGAGTTACACTGTAACACTACCCTGGATGCCCCAACCTTAGTGGAAACAGTCGGATAAGAATATTACCAATAATTAAGCCAACCAGAGGGAGCTCTAGAAACATCAGATGCAGACAAAAAGCACTACTTTAAACTACTTGAGCAACATAATACAGTAACTAAGTACAGGTTCATGAACAAGGGAACCATCTATAAATGATATTTTATAGGACGAAAATGGCTAGAATAATTTGGCTCCAGAGCTACTAATTAATTTTAACTTAAAATCTCAGGAAATTAAAATAATGTCCTCATCTTACTGAACTGATAATTTATAATTCTTGTAGCTCTCTGTAAGTATGGTAAGGGACACGTGAGAACTTGAAATCATGTTTGAAAAATCAGGAATAATTAGGTCTGACCAGTAAATTTGGTGCACACATTACTGAGATGCTTATTCTGGCCTCCATCTATGATGTAGGTTGTAACCTAGTAAAGACAAAATAGATAGGATAAAACTTTAGACTACTAAACAGTAGTTTAAAAAATGAAAGTGACACAAAGGCCTAAAAACTTTACAAAAGAAAAGAAACCACTAAAGGTAAAACCTGACAGATGAGTGTCTTCTTTAAGTCTTTATAGTGCTTACTCTATTCATCTCGTAAATCTATTGATGATGCACTAACATGAACAATTGTTTTAAATAAAATCTACATACAATTTGTGTTTGCTGTGTAGCAAGCTCAGCACTTTTTATTGTCTAGTGGCATTACAAACCAACGTGCGCACATATGATGAACAACACACTACAATTAGCAAGCACGAAACGCATCCCAGTCACCAGTAAGTACTCTAGGTTAAGGTTAGAAGTAGGATCTATTCAGAACCTAAGAAACAGATGAAACAGTATTCAGAGTGAATAATTTATATTACACCATCTAAAATTAAAACGATGGAGCTGAAGGATAAATTTTTTCAGACAACGAAAGTAAATATAAGTACAATTTATTCAAACTGAAGTCATGCTTACCAATCGCAGGTGGTCCCAAAATATTTGCTACACCTTGACAGAAAAAGCAAATTCCAAGTCCATTTGTGAGACGGTGTAACCCAACAAATTCCACCAGCAGAACAGTACACAAGGCATCATTCGCAGCCAAACCCATACCAAAAACACCTAAATTTAAAGTGAACAGCGGACAGTTCATCTAATATGTGACAAATGAAAACTAATTAATGTAAAAAAGATAACTTTTAGTTTATGCTCAAATCTAGCAAAAGATTTATTACAAAAAGTAATGCAAAGGTTGTAGAAGGAATAAGAAATATTAAAAATGACAGATGGCTCAAAATAATACAGTTGAAGGTATCATATGTAAGGCTTTCATTTCGGACTTTATTTAACTATGTACTTAAGTTTAGCTGTAAACGTAATGTGACCATTATGGAAACCCCATTTATTTAGCTTCCGAATGCATCGACCACTCAAAATGTTTTACACAACTTCATGAGTGAGCGTTTGTAGCTCTTTGCAACTGATTTAGAATACGGCAAACAACTACCATTACGAGCCAAAATGTTAACAATGTCAGGTGGGCATCAAAGTCCAGATAAAGGAGATCCTATATAAATAAATATTGATGAAAGGCGACATGAATGTTTACATCTGGCAAGTAAAAATATCTTCTTTAACAGCTACGATGACAAATGTTAGTTAAGCTTTTTTTAATTTTTCTTACAATCTATGCTCGTCACAAATCGGAACTGTTAACGCACCCAGTCTAGAAAATGTACCGGAACCTAAACATTTCTTAGTTAATCTCGTAAATTTCATGATTGTCATTGAGCCCAAAACTACACAAATAACCACCTCTGACTGGTCCTCTTTAACAGTTCCGAAATCAAGTCCTTTTTTACAACCTTTTCCCCAGCTTTGTATCCCTGTATGGGTAAATTCATGAAGACAGATGTTGTTTTACCTTTATCACATTTATTTAGTTATAACAATTTAAAACTTAGCAGAAACTCCATGCCAGGTAAAATAATATTTGGTTCAATCAAAACTGCTATCTAAGGGGAAAAACAACAAACGCCTGAAGATGTAAAGAGTACCTTGGGGCCTCCAATCCATAAAACATAATTACCCAGGAACAAATTCCCACAGTCAGACTGTTACTCCACAGGGGATATAGGCAGTAGTCACTCCCTATGTATCTGACTACTGAATACATAAAACTGAAGAACAAAAAGCTGCATGAATTTTAGATACTTTCAATTCAAGATACAAGGTTAGTATCTCACAGTTCAAATTGACTAAGTAACGTAAATAAAACAAGAATAATTAGAGATCAACTGTTTTCAGTAAATCATTCTTTAGGCTCTAACAACTACAAATCCAATACTGTTGGCATGCAGTAACGGGTAAAGGCAGGTCAGAAGTATACCAGAAAGTGTACTGCAGTACATGTACGAGGTGAGAACCACCGGATATTATTTCACCTTGTTCTTGTACACATACCGATATAATTATAATCTATTTTTATAAGTTATTGCATGTTAAAATTAAGATTTATAATTTTAGAGCGTGAAGAATTCATTATTATTATTCCGAATAAAGAAAATACTTACTAGCATAAGCCGCCATGGATAGAAAAGTAGTTAGGAACGGCATCATACACGTTGACATTCCACAAGCAAGTATCATGAAGAAGTAGAGAGTTAGAGAATCAACACAATCACGATCAGCCAAAAATCCAGCCAAGACTTCGCCGACCATGTTTGCTCCACCAAGGACAGAAAACAAAAGAGCTGCAGCTGTTTCACTAATCCCATAATTGGTTGCACGTACACCCATAAAGAAATACGTAACATTGTACCAAAAGTACAGCAGGAAATTCGACACCATAAACAACGCAAAGGTAGATCTTCTAAAAAGTCGCAGGTCGAAAAAGCGGTGAAATATGTCACGCTTATTCGTGCATACTTCTGAACACCCAATACATGGGATCATTTTATTTTGGCAGCTTTCATCTTCACTTGATGATTTTAATCCGAATTTCCATTTACTAGGGCAACAGCTACAATTGTACGTCAGAGAACACTGAGAAGGTGATATCTCAGACTCACTAGAAGTCGTTGATCTGTATACTCTTCTAATATGATGCAGATCAGGTAAACTCATTGAGTTTTCATGTCTGGAGCGATGTGTACTGAATGCAGCTGACGAAGAATTTTGCGAAAATGCATTCTGCTGGTCAGGATTTTGAGAGATATTATGTGCAAGTTTGAGAGAGTTGGTCTCATAGAAGTCACTGTTTATATGTGCTTGATTTTCTTTACAGAACAACGGATATGAAATGCATCTATTTCCACTTTTAGAAGAGTGGTTACCAGTTTTGTTATTACCATGAATGGAACTCTCAGTAGCTTCTCTGCCCTCATTGACTAGCTTAACCAGGGTATTGTCAGCGACTGTACTTCCAGCACCTGTAAAGTTTTTATTCTGGCAAACCCGAACATCGGTTGGAAAACCTGTTTCAGGCTGTAAGTGATTGGAAATGTTCTTATTAACTGCTTCACTTAACTCGCCCTTCCGGACTTTAAATGCTGAAGTATTCCTTCGTTCATTTGGATCTTGATTACTTTTATGTTGGAGAAGGGGTGATTCTTCAGGAATAGGTAGTAAATTTGATTGAGTTACGGGAGCTTGACAGTGGTTGTCAAAGTTATTTTTATCACTCTCCTGAACCTCAAAATGGTTTCCTCTAGAAGAAAGATTACTATGTGCAGCGCCTGAAGTTAATTTCCAATTTGCCTCATTTGTCGAGTGTAAGTAGCTCATGGTAACCCTTCGAGGTGCTAGCATATGGTCACGTAGTAAATTGATACGACCAAGCACATCTTTGTCTAAATAATCTGCACTTTCCAAAGGAGCAGGTAAACCTGATTCACGGGCAAGATGTTCCAACCAAGCAAGGCGCTGTCGGTGACGTCTTTCAATGTGAGTTTCTACAGGGCGCATAAGCGCTCCACATACTATCATGTTAAGGAAAAATCCTGACAAGATCATCATTGCTCCCCGCCAAGTGTAAATATTCAAAAGCATCTCTACCATTGGAGCAAATATAAGTGCGCCCACACCTGTACCCGCAATAGACAAACCGGTAGCAGTCGCTCTTCTGTCATCAAAATAGACAGATACTACCACAAGTGCTGACGTGATACACAGGCTGGCGCCCAAACCAGATAAGATTCCAAACGAGAAGACTAGTGATACAATAGAGTTAGTAAAGACCCCCGCGAAGCAACCTAAGCCACTAATTAATCCACCAAGCATGCATGTTATACGACAGCCAAAACGGTTAATTGATAAGGAAGATAAAGGAGCTGCAAGTGCCGGAACACCGTAAGAGAATGATCCAATCCAAGAAGTTGCACTCAAAGAATCTTGGAATTCCTCAATAAGAGACTCAATGAGGACTCCAAAAGACACTATAACCCCATCGGTGATCATATGCACAAAAAAGGCAGCCACTACGACAACCCATCCCCAACCACCATCAGGCGGTTCTGGCAAGGAAAGCTGACTTGCAGACAAAGGCAAACGCGTATTACTTGAGGCGTCACTTGAGTTCGACACTGAGATAGTGGATACCGTTGTTGAAGAGTCTGAAGAACTCTCTAAAGAAGACAGAAAATACGGCATATATCTCGCGAATGTAGGAGAAACTACATTAGGCGTTGTTATACAGTTCAGTGATTTTGTTGCAGGTAAGGTTGGTTCAGATAGGGTACGAGATGACTTTGAAATCCCAAATCCTTTCCTGCCTGTCTGAAACTTCTTTGTCAGACGTGGGTCTATACTTCTTGCTTCGTTAGAAGCATCGATACCGAAAGTTGCTGCTGGAAGAGATGCAGTCAGCTTTTTTAATTCATCCGTTTGTGACTCTTTTCCAAACATAGTAGATTTTTTACCGTTCGTTTTCAAAGATGTTGAGTCCCCAAGTTTAACTGAAGCGACATTCATATTGGTAAATAATTAGTTGCTTTAATGGTTGTGAAATTGAGAATTATAAAGCACAAAAGACTAAGAGATTAAGTAAATAGGAGTAAACAAGTCTTTGTGTTTTTCTAGCATACGTGGTAATCCCGGAACAAAAGCCATTGATCATAAACAACCTTTTAAGGAACGGACTATCATAGCTCACCAAAGTCTCCATAAAATTCACAGAACCCTCACGAACACCAACAAACACCATCAACTGGCGAAACTGTATGTACCGAATTTCCCACAACTGTTTCAAACAACTCTGAAATTGGATATGTAATAGGACAGAGAAACAGATTTTTGGAGACTAATAATTCGAAATAAATTGATATCCCGGTGATATATATACACAATTCCTCAGAAACTACTTGAACAGCATTCTTGGAGCCTGAAATACATTAGGAACTAATATTGCTGGATGTAATATACGCAAACTTTGGTACGGCTACTCATGAAGTCTTTCCTTCAGTTCCTTCATAAAAAATTTAAGTAACTTTGGATTCAGTAGAATATGGGGGACTAGATGTAAGACTTCCTTGGTGATCAAATTTTTATTATTATTATTGTTGCTCCCTTGGGTTCCAAGTGGAACATAGGGCTTCAACTGCACGTCTCCATTTTCTTCTGTCTTTTGCTGTACTTTTCGCCTGCATTCACGTTAGTCCATATTCTTTCAACTCCTCTTCACACGATCTCCTCCATGTCACCCTTGGACGTCCCACACGCCACTTCCCTTTCGGGTTCCACTCGAGGGCTTGACGCGCGATGTCACCCAGCGGTCTCCTCAGCGAGTGTCCGATCCATCTCCACTTTCTCCTGCATATTTGTTGGGCGATCCAATATCGTTTTTACGAGCTAGTATAAACCAATTTGATTTCTTTGTGCTCGCTTCTTGATTGTGAGGTATAGGTTCTTGATCTTCGGTAAACTTCTGCGTAGCTTGTCCCGCCACTCGACTGTCGTAGCTTTGGTTGACTCCAAAGGGAGTAGTGCTGGGATTAATTATATGTGGTTTGTAGTATGAGGTATGTTAAGACTGTTACTACTGTGATTGGAGTTGATCCTTTCGCCAGTTAGTCCTTCGGTATTGTCGACAAGAGAAAAGAGATAGTAATAATAATAATAATAGTAATAATAATAATAATAGATATAATTAGTGAAGCTATTCAGACTAAGAGACAGAAACGAAAATAGGAAACGTAACAACAGTCAGCTCATTAAGTTTGAAGAATAATATATATATCGGTAATAGTAATAATAATAATAGTAATTATAATATTAATAAGTTGTCAGGAGAGTAAGACGGGAGAGAATGTAAAGAAGTAAAATGACGAGTTTAATTATCTACCCTGATTGGTAAATGCGATTTTAAGGAGATAGGCCATTTGGATGCAGTCCTTGTATCGCTGCATGGTTGTCCAGCCTTCGCTTAAAGGCGTCCAAAGACGGTGCCATAGCTACATCTGCCGGTAAGGAATTCCAGGGACGACAAACCCGCAGTGAAAAGAAGTGGGAGCGCACCCGGGTCCTTGCCCTCTGGTGAGCTATCCTTCTGGGATTTCCACGTGGAAGCCTATACCTACTCAATGGCAGAACACCTTTGTTTGGGTGATTCTGGTCATTTGTTATTTTGTAGGCAGTAATCAAATCCCCCCTAAGCCGACGGTAACTAAGTGTGAACAGGCCTAATTTCTTCAGCCTTTCATCATATGGTTTGTTTCGGAGACCAACCACTCCTTTTGTTGCCCGTCGTTGGACTCTTTCCAAGAGGTTGGCATCTCTTCTCAGCATTGGGGGTGCAATAATATTATGCACCTCAAGGTGTGGCCTGACGTATGTTTTGTACAACATTAGAAAGAGCTCAGGAGTGAGTGCACCTAACTGTCTATGCGTAAAGTGTATGACCGCATATGCCCTCGCTACATCCCCTGTGTAATTTACGCTTGTGTCCATTTTTTCCGTTAGAACTAGACCTAAGTCGCGTTCCGACGTTGTGCAGGACAAGCTTTCATTGCACAGGGTGTAACTTGCATTCTGCAGTCTACAGGTGCGCAACTTCACTACTTTGCACTTTTTCAAGTTGAAAGTCATGCCACTGGCCACCGCCCAGTCTTCCAGAAGGTTTAGGTCTTCCTGTAGCCTATCTGAGTCCTCCGGACACTTTATCGCCCTCCATATTTTTACGTCGTCAGCGTACAGGAGAGTCGGGCAGCTCAGACGGCGTGGTAGATCATTGATGAAAATCAAAAACATCAGTGGTCCTAGGATAGAACCCTGCGACACTCCTGATGACGATCTGTGCCAAGATGATCGGACTCGGTTAACCTTAGTGCAAAATTGCCTGTCGGCTAGGTAGTCCTTCAACCATGACAGAAGTGGCTCACCTATGCCTGCCTGGCTTATTTTATGTAGGAGAAGGTCATGGTGAACAGTGTCAAATGCCTTCTCAAAGTCTAGGAAGACCACATGGACTGGTACGTTCAAGTCCCAGCATGATGTCCAGTCGTCCCAAGCTGACAGTAGGTTAGTGACGCAGGATCTGCCTTTTCTGAAACCATGTTGGGCTTCATGTAGTATATTAGTCCTATCGAAATATTCCCTGATGTGGTCGTCAATAATACTTTCCAGTACTTTTGATACCACTGGGAGTAGAGCTACTGGTCTATAGCTAGCAGCGTTTTGCCTGTCCCCACCCTTGAAGATTGGAGAAAGGATGGCTCTTTTCCACTCCCTTGGCAGGGTCCCCGAATCCATTGAGTGTTGGAACAAGTCGCACAGGGGTCTACAGAGAGCCTCGGCGCACTGTTTCAGAACAGATGGCCTGATGTCATCACAACCTGGGGACTTCCCAGGTATGAGTCGCTGTAGCTTCCTTAGTACTATTGCGGGGTTTATTTGGGGAGTAGTCGCTAGGTCTTCCTCCTCTGAAATAGTGGTGCCACCATTTTGGTCCGTAACTGTAATATCCACATTGCTGTTTAGCTGTTTAGCGAAGGCTGAACTGAATGTTTCAGCCATCTCCAGACTAGTGAGATATTGACCGTTTGGGCCTACTAAGGCGCATGCCCCTTGGTTTGTCGGTTTTCTTTCCGACATGAATCGGTACAAGTTTTTAGGGTTTGATAGGAGTTTTTTAGCAAGGTTAGCCTGGAATGACCTTCTGTCCCTCCTAACTCTTGCATTACACCGGTTCCTGAGTTCGAGGTATGCATCATGGTCGGTCTGACTCTTAGATACACGCCACGTAAACCAAGCCTTCCGCTTTGCTTGCAGAATACGTTGCGTGCCTCTCTTCAACCATGACGTCTTTCTCTTAGGCTGTGTTGTGACTAAAGGGACGGTATCCGAGATTGCTGTATGGATAATCTTTTTTACCACTTCCCAGTGTTCATCCACAGATAGGTCGTCCCATGCTAAGGGCCAGTCTGCGTCGGACAAGAGCCTCCGCATTTCAGCATAGTCAGCCTTGCTGTAGCACAGACATGGTCGCGTAACATCCCATTGCAAACGCTCACGGAGGACAAGATCGAAACCTATGACTGCATGGTCACTGCTTCCCAGAGGAGTCATGATCTGGACCTTTTCGACGAGTAGCTGGTCACTAGTTAGAATATAATCTAGTTTTGATGACTTTCCACTAGGGCCCCACCTAGTGTCGTCTCCAACATTCTCAGTCAGTCCCGTGTTTCGAATAGTTTGCAGTAGGTTTCGGCCAAATTTTCCCTTAGCACACCCGGAGCCGAGGTTCAGTGATGGAGCATTGAAATCTCCAGCTATGGTGATTTGGTCGTAGCCCAAATCTCGTATTCCTGTGATAGTGCTGAGCAGTAGCTGATTGTGCTCTGCCCCACAGGTGGGAGATCGGTAGATGCCACCCAGTAAGTGCTTGGTGTGGCCTACGGTGAAATGACACCATATGGAGTCTGGGAGTTCGATAAGTGGTGGGTCCGTTGCGCGCACACATTTAAGTTGCCTATCAAAGTATATAGCAACTCCCCCTCCTTCCTTATTATCCCTGTCTCTTCTGACCAGTACCATATCACCTATACTGATTTCATTGTCGGCGATAGTGGGGTTTAGCCACGTTTCAGTAAGAATGATTATTTTCAGTTGAAGGTGTGCTTGGAGATTTCGGAGTTCACCTACTTTCCCTCTCAGCCCCCTCACATTGCTATATAGGCAACTGACAGTGAGTCTAACAACCTCAGAGTGTTGTGGGGTAGTTGACGTGAAACCGTCTGCTGGTGGGGGACTTGATGTTGGAACTAGTTGGCCGATTCCGATAGAACCGGCCCGTTGTAGTTTTTTTCAATGGATTTAGGCAGGACACTTGGGAGACACAGACTATTATTCTCAGAGCTGCATCGCTCTAGTGTCACCGAAGCTTGGGGTCGTATTAAAGCCTCAGTTTGCTGCCTCCTTATATTTCTGGGTCTGCTTTCACAGCATCGGATGTGTCCTCCAATTTTTCCCTTGGTCTCATACCACCGTTGAAGTGATATGGACAACTGCTCCGGGGAGTTGAATGTGACACACAGCAGCTTTGGAGAGTTAATCAATGTTAGATGAGCGGGACGAGGTAGTCGGAAAATGGAGATGGCTCCAGAAGCGCCAGGGGCCATCTGAGATGACAGCCATCTCCATTGTTGTACGTCGTGCATGTGTTTTTCACAAGCAGTGCCGGTTTCCAGCTCCGGAACACCGTGTACCACCATAGAGGTGGAAGGCATCAGTTCCGGTGACTCCCTCGCCATATTTCTGACGGCCCATGGTCTATCTTGCCGCGCTCTTATGTTAGAACTTCTGTCCAGGGCTAGTACCTGAGCCATTAACAGTACTTTTTCGGCCTCTTCGGCAGAGTCCAGTGTAACCCGTAATGGGGGTGGCTTACCCTGAGGCGTGTGGACACCCCTGTACAGTCTGCACAGTTTTGCTGAACTAATGTTCAGACCTAGTTTGCTGCACAGGTTGGACCACTGTTCCTGATCAAACAGGGCCCGTTGTTCGAGCAAGCTATCCGTGCTCACAGGTACGTTAAAGAGGATGAGAGAGTTAGACCGACTACCCTCAGACTTAGGTTTTGCCTTCGGCTTCTTGCAGTCCTTTGCATCATTAGCAACATTAGGCTTCATCGGTACCTGGACAGCCTTTTTTGTGTTGCCAGGCTTGCTAGTGGATGCAAGTGGTGCCTTTGTAATTTTGCCTTCCCCTGATGTGGATGGAACCTTGCTAATCTTCACCTTGTGAGAATTGGCATT